TTTCTTTTTACCTTCAAAACCATCAGGAACATAGTCCTTTGTTACAATATTTACAAACAGCGTTGGCATGCAAAGAGGTTGATTGCACTCATTCCTGAGCTTGATATGCCGATAGCCTGGTGGTAAAAGATCATCAAAATTAATAATGAACATCATAATTATTYATAATTAAAACTGAATAGCACACAAGTGAACTGAGAGGTCTTACCCGGATGGAGGCCATCAACAGGAAGAACTCTTTGTCCTATRAATTTACCACTCTCTTCATATACAACTATTCTAAGAACTGCCAAACTAGGCAGAACAACCTGACAAATATCAAAACTTAATTATTAAATGATTATCAATACTGCAGATTGATATTATCATTATCATCTCAGCAATCATTATCAGTTCAACTACAAATAAAATGTGATGTTTCTATTGAGCTATTAAGTGAGCTGGCTGACCACATTTTTGAAGATGTTCAAAAAAATGTTATTATTTAGTATTTTAATCATAACTGTTTTTAACATTTTTCTGCACCTTCACCCTTGTCATTACCAGTAGTCACAAAATGCTGGCTTAAGTAAAATGTTAATCACTATACATTATTCTTCTCCACAAACCTTTTTAAAGTCAAAAGAGTCTTCATCATAGACAGGATTAATACCATTACTTGGTACAACTTTAGTTCTGTACTTCTTACGGACTGTATCYGCAGGAAGACCATACATTTCTACTTCAACATATGTACCAACTTTCTTATCGGTCAAAGTCTGCCCACTAATTACCTGAAATAATAATTGCAATTGTTAATTTGGATTCAAGAAATATTAGCAGTACTCTATTTGGTCTGTAAAATAATTTAGTTATTTTCATTGACATTATTAATCTAGCATTTATAATAATTATAATAGTCAATTATTATCACACCGGTGTAAAGTTGGTGGTACATCATCATGGGTGCAGGGGTGAACATTGAGTACATGTGAAGTTCCCATGGCAGATGCATTCTACCCCAGTTATGAAAACCAAAACATAGTTACATTTGTACATTGATAACTGGCTTGTTAAGGGGGAAGTGAATATATTACGGATTGAAACAGCACCTTAACAGATACAGCACCAGCAATAATTCCATCAACTGTAGACTCTGCAAACGGATCAAATGTTCTATCTGGACGTCGCATAAAACTTGGCTTAAGAAGATATCTGAAAGTTAAAAATTGGWTAATAAATGAATGGAGTGTATAACATTAATTTTCTTGTATTTAGATAAATACTGGTAAACACTGAATACAGCAATGACAACACCAAAATAATACTAGAAGTAAATTTTGACTGATAGTTATTTGTCACATCATTTAACTCTCTCATTATAACTTACGAATAAATATCATTTGATATAATTTGATAACATTACGACTTTTTAATACCTTCATGTATGAAAGTCAATCACTTACCCACTTCTTCCATTGTATTCAAATATTCCTAAGTTTAACATCATTGCTAAATCTATAAGCAAACAAAATATAATTGAATATGAAATAAGGCACAAACACAAAACATTTTGAATCAATATCCAGGGTCAAAATTTCATGGCTGTATTTCCTATATTATATATCTTTTGAAATTTGTTGTTTTTACCTAATGTTTGATAATTCAAAGCAACCAGTTGGCATCCTGCATTCCAGAAAACCTGCGAGGCACAATAAATGAAATATTATAGTTACATGATACATGTAGCTGGCTTAATAATAACTGTTAGTATTTCTTTTTCATTTGTCAACGAATGATCTCTAACTTATAATCATATATTAAGTACAAGTCCTATGATTCCCTTCATGTTTGCCTCGCCCAGTTTTTGTTGATCTTTCAATTGGTTTTACACAGAAATACAGCTGTATATAGCTGTTTCAAAAAAGGTTTTCGGATAAAATGGTGAATGTCAATTGTCGAACAGCGATTGCACGACCGAAAGTAGCCATGGGTTTTGCTAGTTGAAAGGCAATAACAACTGATTTGTACTGTAAGATGGTCTGTGGTAAAAACTGGCTCCATTTAGTCTCCATTCCATGCAAGGTGAATCCAATAAGTGAAATTTTGTTTATCAAAACAGTGTAACCATAGTCCCTTTCGGTCGTGCAATCTCCCTTCGACAATCGCCGCTCGCCGTTCTCCCCGACAACGTTTTTTGAAATAGCTGTATATATATTTGAATTAAGTACCTGTGGCATGTAGTTTTCAGAACCAACTCTGGTTCCCCTGGGATATATACGACTGAGTTGTCTTTTATTATAACTGGATTATAAATTAAGAATTTAAACCAAATGATTGTCTGCAATTATTAATGTTAATAATATTGTATTTTTATATAATACGTTCTGCTTGAGAAAGTGTATTTATGAAGTGTTATAGTTATGAATTGTAACTTTCCAAAAAGAAAATTATATAATTACACTTTGTGTCCAGTTGCAGRTATTGGCAGCAATTGTACCATATTTAAAGTTTGCAAGATAATAAAAGTATTGTGTAATATGCATTTTGTTAAGGTCAAAAAGGATACTTGACAAATTCAACTGGTTTCTCCTTCAATAAGACTGTAGCGCTAGTCTCCACAAATGATGACATTTCATAGGAGCAGTTTTTTTCTACAAATAAAGTATAACAATATTTAAGCTGCAGTGGTCTTGACCCCAGGTTTTTCTTCTGTTTCTTAAACAAAACTTACTTGAAGAATTCTCAAAACTTTTAAAATGTACAGGTTGGATGTAGTTGACAAGCTCAGAGAGAGATGTCTCTGGWGCAGACTCTTCAACTTCCTGATCTTTCTAATAAGACAAAAAAAAAACAATTTTTAGCTTCTTTGAAATAGATATAATTTCATATTTTTTTCAACAACATTCGCAACAAAATTGACTGTGGGGGTAGGAGGAGAGGAGGATTAAAACAGCCAATAAGGGCAGAGTGCATGCACTAGAGCGCAGACTGTAATAGCATTCTGTCCCATTAAATTTTGTTTAGGATTGTATCTACTATTTTGTTCCATGGGATTCAAAAGGGTTCTTACTCCAGAGTCATTGTTTTCTTCATTATTAATTTCCAGCTTGTTATCACTGTTGTTGTTTTCAGGCAGTGTTGCATTGGATGGAGCATCGGTCGGAGTTTGAGGTGTAGAATCATTGTCGTTTACTGCAAACAAAACAAGGTAAATGCAGTCAGTTCACAAGATATTGTCCTCTAATTTTATATTTTACAAAAATCTGTCTTCTTCGCCTGAACCTCCTTGTTTATAATGTCTTCTAATTTCATATTTTACAACAATCTTATATCCTGAACATCTTAAATAATATTATAGTTAATAATTAGGGATTTGTTGCAGTAGCAGGAGTATATTGAGGACTCCTGACTGACTTTATCTGCTTAGCCTAATCATTTCATGCCTTTTTGGCCTTCTGTCTCTAGCTATAACACTATATTTAGTACTTAAAAGAAAACATGTGATACCAATAAATATMATTTCATCAAAAAACCTGTTCTTTGCTCTTGCAAGCCCACCCCCTTCATAAATAACAAGTGACACTATAATAACATATTCAATAAATGAGTTTTTTATTGTTTCCTGTAATTTCTTACTTTCTTCCCGTTTTGAGGTCCTTTTCTTGTTCTTGATAATAATTTTCTTCATCAAGGATTTTAATGTAGGTAAAGGTTTCCCTTCTTCTAGCTTGAATGTTAACAAGAAAGAAAAAATTAAAAATGGATGGGAATAGYAAAAATAACAATTATTTGTTGAGATTSTGTGTGATATGAACCATTATCAGTTGAGACTAAGCATAATGTTGGCTGTTGCCTACTGAAGCTTAAAAATTGTTGGATGCTAATGTGAAGACATTACAATTATCAACTTACTGGAAACTCGTCAAGAGGTTTATCAAGCAACATATCACCAAAGATGGTGACACAGTAGGCAGCCATCTTAGATTGCTGTTTGGGCCTGAAAAAAAAATATTTGAAATTGTATAATTTATTAATTTGAAATGTGACCAACAGGTTTATCATTGTCAGGAAAGGTCCTAAACAGATTGAGCCTTGCCAGTCCCAACAGATTTCTTTCAGGCTTATATTCTTGAAAATACACTAGTTGAACACATCTCAAACATTTATCAGTAAAAGAAATTATTGTATCAGTTGTTATTTGMAGTCAGTCGTTATTTGCCAGTCCCAACAGATTTCTTTCAGGCTTATATTRTTGAAAATACACTAGTTGAACACATCTCAAACATTTATCAGTTGAGTAAAAGAAATTATTGTATCAGTTGTTTTTTGGAGATTAAGAAATATAGTATAGGTTTCATTCAAAGTTTTGAATTTTCTTTCAGATTCATTCAACTTGTCATGCAACAAAAGCATTTACTGCAAGTTGGGCAAAAATCAAACTCACTAGTCTAACAAAAAAGGTAAAACTTAGATATAATAATAAAGTAATAATTATCAATAATAATTGGTAGATATTCATGAGGCAATACATACGTGCAGTGATTCTCAAACGATAAGATAACTGGATAGTCTGAAGTCTTAAATGCACACTCGGCAATAGCTTCAATGACATCCTGAAAAACACAATAAGCATAAACAAATATAGTATTCAATAGTTTTATCGACTTTTGTATGACGTTCAGAGGAAAACATACCTTGAAGGAAATTTCTGTACAAAGAGTCATTCCATGTGTAATAACTGGCTCTTGTTGTTCTGTTCTACCATCCCAACAATCCAGTTCTATGCACCGACAACCAAGCAACAAAGCTTGCCTGTACATTTCCACTGACGATTTCCCRGTCAACTGATGACCTGTGTTAAGTCAGTSATAAAATCTTGTTATCTTRATCCAGTTGCCACAACATMAGCTTTTCATATTTTTGCTTACCAGTTAAGTAAGTATTGTGKGATGAATTAATAAAATAATGTGCAAGACTTTGTGTCATATCTTGATGTAACGACAGTCTGTCTGGATTGATAATTGTATTATCTGCACTCATTAAATATCTTGTTAGTCCTTGTACTGAAAAATGACCTGCAACCAAGATGGCAACCATTAGTATTTTCATAAGGATTTTCCATGTTGTCTTGAGGCTTAATAGTCTCCTTCACAGTTACCTTGCCATCTTGAAATGTATGCCTTTGCATCGAAGTGAGACAACCATTGAGCATGCATTGATAGATACTTGTGAATAATTGTCTGTAGGTGTGAAAGAAGGTTTCTATCATTGCACACTCAATGGCCGTCTCGCTCCGGTGCAAAGACACGGCTATTTTTCAACGTGGCGCAGGGAACCGTGAAGGAAATTATATATATATATATAATGTCATATTCTTGGCCTGACCTTTTTTTACAAAATCTTTCTTTGGTTCATATCTATTGATTAATTCCTGGGCCCTCTCAGGATCACAYTATGGAAAAAGGATCTCYTTYAGRCTGGGATCCCTCTGGTTGTTATTGATGAAATCCACTACTTGCTCTGTCGTTAGGTATGGTTTTTTCTTRGCTCTAAATAAATAYTTYAAATCATCAATCTTCCAAGCTTATCAAATGAATAAAAAAATTAAGACAATTGATATAGGTTTGGAATATGAGGATACTGTTTCGGAAAATAATGATAATATCACTCACATTTCAGTAAATATCTTGTCAATATCTTGTCTATTACAAAGTCGATTATAGAATTCCAAAAACATTTCAAAAGTAAATACATCTGGGCTAACAGTATCATTCTGTCAAAAGAATGGAAAACAAAAAGAATTAGTTAATAAATTGAATGCTAATCAAATACCATAATTGGGATCCCTGTGCTAAGTGGCCCCTTGACACTTGGGCTTCCTGTGGTACATCAATGTTTGGGACAACTTGACATGAAAAATATTTTTCTGTTCAATATTTTCCACACAAACTTATCAAATAGATATCATGTGCAATGGCACTTTATCTAATAATCATAAATTTAAATATTGGTTAATTTATTTCATATATATGTATGAATAAAAATTCATTATTTTAATATAATTATACAATCACTTTGTAGAAATTCAAATACATGCCTTTCCATGGGGTAAGCCAACTGACTGCAAAGCATCTTGAACTCGTTTTCTATCCTCTTTYCTAGAGCTGGTTATGAACTTGATTATACTACAATAACAAGTGAACACAAACGATAAGATTACACCAAACAATTAATTTTGATTAGTATGAAAAGTAGAGTCAGACAGAACTGATAATAGAATTAATCAATAATATAATGACAAACAATGATGTTGAATTGAAAGCTGCAACATAATGGCTAGAAATCAAATTACTTATTAAAATGGTCCAAGAGTGGCTCTACTGTTCAGCCTGTTGTTGATCTGGTTATTGATGGCTGTAAGTAATACATGTGTACACAATAGAGCGGATTTCGTATGACTGTGCAAAAAAAACATGGTACGTTCGTGCTGTGTCCGTACCGTGCCGTAGCCGTGATGAATTGGAAAATCTTTACTTTCATTTGAAATCCTAGAGGGCGAGGTTCCATGACCGTACTGTGCCGTGTCTGTGTTGTGATCCATGCTTTTGCACAGTCATATGAAATCCACTCTATATCTGAGCCTCTAATCCCACACGACAAAAAAACTCATTTCTCAGCATAATGTTAGGTGTGCTTACTTTTTAACAAGAATTTTTCCTTCTGGACTGGTTTGGACACAAATCTTTGTATAACTAAACATAAGAAAGACCATTCAATTCATACAAATAAAATCAAAGCAAAGTGGCTAATTTTTTTCTATTCTTTTTTATTTTTATAAAATGTTTAGATAACCGAGAGTACATCATGAGGTGCTACATTCAGAAGTACAAAACATAAGTGTTTTTTTTAATGTTTGTGCATCAAAAAATTGCACACTTGCAATTAAAACATACGACACTGTTTGGGTCCCATTTACTGAACCACAGCCCAAGTAAAAGGCTACAGTCATGTGTTTCAGCAACAAAAATCCTGCATCCTGATATAAAACTCACTGTTTCTGTAAAAATGTTGAAGGGCAGGCATTGAGTGCAAGAAGATTATGCGTTAGGTTCATTAATGCTGACGTCCATTCCTGTGCTACGGTAAGAGATCCAGATACAAAGTTGATAKAAACTAAATCCACCATATTACTGCCATGGACAATGGTAATGGTTTTGCTCGGAAGTTCCTCATCTGTCCCACTAAATCGTACAGAGTCTCGTAAACGAGGATCCTGATGAGTGATTCGATAAAAAATAAATGTTAATTAAAGGGATAGAGCAAACGCTGGAAAACCATGAAATAAAACCAAACTAAATACTAACGAATATCAGCTATTTAGAGAAAATTTGAAGGTAGAGTGCAAGTCACATAAGCATGAAACAATTCTTAATATTGTGTATTGCTAAATAAGATTTAGTTATCAACTAACTAAGAATTGAGAACAATGCTACAAAGGAAAATTTAAATAATTGGCATTGTGTTTATGCTTTGTTGAATAATACGATCAAGATGAATCCTTGTGAGACAATTTTTATTGTTTGAATTGTATTTATTCATAGTTTATGGTATGCTCTTTGTCACACAATAGATTCAAGTCTCATTTTTAATGGTTGAATTGTATTTTTATTCATAGTTTATGGTATGTTCTTTGTCGCACATAGGTTCAAGTCTCATGTGGATTCATCTTGATTGCGTTCTGGTTCATTTATACTCACAAATTGTCTCTAAATTGCTGCTATTTGTTATTATTTACTTTTTTTAGTTTTATTTCATGGTTTTGCTCTACACCTCTATGATATAAATTAAAATGAATTATTAAAACTATTCTTAAAATTCTATTACAGGAGGGAATAATAGCATTGTTCCTAGGATAGAAAAACAATAGAWTATTATATAAATTTACACATAGATTTGAGGCTATTCCATTATGTACTGGAATTTTATTAAGAATATTCAATATTGTTAAACTAGCAAATGGTGTTTACTTTATTGCTAATTAGACACGATAATTAACCCAGCAACTGCCAAGGAAAGGCAAACATTTAGATTAATATATAGATACTGATGCCGATTTTTTAGCTAATTGCACATAACAGGATATTATTTCCTTGCATGTGTTTGTTTTCATTTCATGAATACAGATCAGTGTTGTAAAGAATGCACAACTTAAAATAAAAATAATTATACATGATTATATCGCCTTAAAAGTGATGATATCCTTAAATGTAGAGTTGTTCATTAGTTGGSAAATGACATGAACAAGGCACTGAAGATATCTGCCATTGAAGATACTTTCAAATGGTACCATTATTATTTTGCAGACACCACAGGCTAATCAATCATTAGATTTAAGGTGATGATACTGGACTAAAAGACCCACAGGGGTTTCTACTTGACACCCATTGCTGTTATTAGACATGTATGAATTATAGTAAAAACAATTAAAAATGTCAGACTTTAGAGCGGATTTCGTATGAGTGGGAAACGGACAGTACTGTACTGTGACCGTAATCTTACTGTAACCAAATTCTAGTGCCCCATTGGTTCACCAAAATTGTGCAGGCCAGGTCCGGTAACTGTGCAGTAACCGTGCGGTAACAGTGTCCCACTCATACGAAATCCGCTCTATCTATCTGTGCAATCACTATAAGGCAGCCGGCCCAACAGGTATTCAGAAAGGTAAAATACAACATGCTGCTGGCTATAATAAAGTGTACGTCCAATATCTCAATACATGTACTACTTTTTCTATCATCCAATATTGTTCAATATCTACATGCTGGTTATTCTAAGACTTCRAGATCTATTTACTGCAGCTATACAGATTTATTTATCTATTATAATATTATAGATTACTATTCTTGAGATACTAAATGTGCCTAATTTATTGGTTAAAAAATAATAAAAAAATGTCAAACATTTAAAAGGACTCGAAATCCAAATAGGCCCATTTCTATTGGATCTAATGTTTTGAAATATTTTAATACCTGTCAGATTTCAATTTCTTAAGTATTTAGAAAATATTTTGTCATTGACTCYATCCTTTTTTGACATTCCATCTTTGTAGACATTAATTCCCTGTGGGATGATCAACTGTTTTCCCAAACAACGTTTCAATAGGTAAAAATATTTCATATATTAATAATTACTCAAAGTTATAAAATTAAAGCATATTGCATCCAAGTAGCACTAAATGGGCATTCATTACARTTAGCAGCTGCGAAAATAGTTCATCGGAAGTAGGTGACACAACMTTGACTGGTCACAGAACCTTAAAGATTGTAGATTTTACRTGATAGACTTTAAAAAATTTTTATTTGTGCCCTGAGTATAAGAGTTCCYTGTGARACTCATTCCAGCCTATTGATTCAAATCGRCAAAAAAACAATCCTTTACTGAAGGAAAAAAAAGCTAATCATTTCT